CTTATGTGGTGCTGAGGAATCGAACCCAGGGCCTCATGCATGCAAGGCAAGCGCTCTACCACTGAGCCACCTTCCCAGCCCCAAGAAAAAATTTTTTTAATATTAGTTTTTCTTCTTAAAATACACTGGTCTTGCAAGAAGACCTCATTTGGAAGGTTTAGTCCCTATGGGATATAACAAAGTACATTCTCCCAGGGAGCAGAGAAATAACCTCTGATCTTTCTTTTTTTTTTAATTGCTGTTGTTGTCAGTCCTGGGACTTGAACTCAGGGCGTGGGCACCATCCCTAAGCTTTTTTGCTTAAGGCTAGCACTCTACTACTTGGGCCGTTTCCAGCTTTTTTGGTGGTTAATTGAAGATAAGAGTCTTTCAGGTTTGTTTGACTGGCTTTGAACTTCAGTCTTCAGATCTCAGCCCCCTGAATAGCTAGGATTACAGATGTGAGCCACTGTTGCCTGGCCAGTCTTTGTTTTTTTTTTTGGGGGTCCGGTCATGGGGCCTGGACTCTAGGCCTGGACGCTGTCCCTCAGCTCTTCAGCTCAAGGCTAGTGCTCTACCACTTGAGCCACAGCGTCCACTTCCGGCTTTTTTCTTTTTGCATATGTGGTGCTGAGGAATCAAACCCAGGGCCTCATGCATGCAAGGCAAGCGCTCTACCACTGAGCCACCTTCCCAGCCCTGTCTGTCCTTTTTGATGTAGGCTTGTCCCTTAGAGCACAGGAGAGGTTTTCCACAGAGATAAGCACACTCTGGCTCTCACTATCTGCCTGATAAACACTGTATTTTCTGCTGTATGTGGTGATGCGTTGTCCTTGCTTGCTCTCCTTTCCTCTCACTAGAATAAAAACGTTAAACTGAAATCTTATTCCATTACATTTATTTATTGGTGCTGGGGAGTTGTACAAAAACAGCTGTAGGTTGTTACCACATTTGTGTTCTTTTCTCCCAAATGTTTCTTCCCACGCCTTTCTGTTTCTTTTTTAACACTAGTGAGGGTATGGGAATTTGACCTGGCCTGGAAATGTGACCTGCTGTGATCTCTGAATGACAAGCAGGAAGCAAGAGGCAGATTGGTCTTGGGATCAGGCACAGTGCTTCAGAAGTTAAATCACCAGGGTCCAAATCCCAGCTTTCCACCTACTTACTGGTGATCCAAGTGGAATTGTTCGACCTTCCCAGCCTCTTGTTTTATCATCTGTATTGTGAGGATGACTGCGTCACATAGCTTAGGGTCGTTGAGAGGTGAGTTTGTGTTTGCCAAGTGTCTGGTACAGAGTAGGTCCTTAGGAAACCTCGTGAGCATCATCCTAGAGGACTTATCAGCTGTGACAAGGCAGAAACCCCCTTTCATGCTAAGTCAGGACAGCTCCCATGCATGCTGGCAGGTGCAGCCATTGTGACTAGGTGAGAGAAGGAAATAGAAACGCCTTTTCATCCGAGTTTTGGCTTTGCCTGAGCTTTGCCACCATGAGAATTAAGGAGGAGAGTGCTGAATGTCTGGATACCTCTCCTACAGAAGAAACACGAAAAGCCACATATTTCAGCAGCTATTATAAACCTGGCTATGCTTCTAGGTCTCAATGATGAGATGTTTCAGAGGTTTTGTAGTGGTTTAGATTGGTCAATTTTGTAGGGATGGAAGTATATTACTTCAGTAATTTTTTAAAATTATGTTTGAAGGCCTACTGAAAAAAATGCTGCATTGGTATATGTACTGTGAAAGACAGTCATATGTGTTTTTTGCCTTTGTAGTGATGGAATGGGAATCCCCACCTCTTTGTCCCAAATCCTCCACCCATACACTGGTTCTGTAATCCAGAGATTTATTCTTTTAATTTGAATTTCTCATTCTTGCTTCTATCTGGTGGGCCCAGGAAAGAGTATCGCTTTGCCAGATACATGTGGTTTAGGCTTCTACTGTTCTGATGTGTGGATTTGTCCCAAAATTTCAGTTTCTCATTTCTCTCAGTTTGTTTCATTTTGTCATGATGAGGTGAATTAGCTACTTCCCCTGGTAATGAGAGCTTAATTTGGGTAGAGTCAAATTCATTTCCTTTTTTGGTTTAGGGATATGATGTACAAAGAAGAAATAAACACTTGGCCTTTTTGGAACTGCCAAGGCTCTCCTTTTCCTCACAACTGTCTTGCTTATAAACATACTTTTGCTTTGAAGTCAAAATGGACAAGGAGATTAAACAGCACAGGCCCATGACAGTGCTAATGAAAATTGTTTGAAAGACTAAACTGGACATTTTCCACTGAAATCAGTCTCATTGTCTTTCTTCCTCTCTGCTTTCCTGCTCGCCCCCATTCCTCCTCCTGACTTCTCTGTGGCGTCAGTATCTCCCATGATGCAGAATCACATTGGTTTGTCTTGGCCTCAGTCTCACCAGCATCTGTTGCCTCTGCGCCCTCCCCTCCCTACTCAAAGTCCCTTCTAAAGCTGGCCCTCGATAACTCTCACCTGGCTGGCATCCCCATCTTTCTGATTTCCCTCCTCCTCCTCCATTGTTTCTTCCCTTCCTTTGTTTAATAACCTGACACATTTTTTGGAATTAAGTCCAGACTTTTAGCTGAGCATCAGGGACCTTTGCCATGTAACTTGCCATGCCAGCCTTAATTTCTTGTGACAACCCCCGGTGTGTTATCTGCCCTCAGTGAACGGCACTACTTAACACTGCCTGGGAAGCACTTGCTCTGCCTTTCCTCTGCTGAGAATGCTCCCCTCATCTACCTGACACAGACCTGCCAAGGCCCAGGTCCAGTGCCCCCACCACCTGCTGTCACTTCTCTCATTGCTCTGACCACTGACAGCAATTTGTCTCTTCCTGTAGTACCATGTTCTGGTTATTTCTCCCCTTTATAAGAGAACAAAGAGCCTGCCTTTCATCCCTCGTAGCACCAAGTACAGTGCCTGGCATCTCTGCCATCAGTAACTACCATAACAACAAGCTTGCTCTGTCTTCATTGCAGAAAAGAACGAATGGTCTAAAGGTATGATTTTAATTGACTCGCAGGTGTGGGAAATGCTACCGCCTGTGTCTTACACGAAGTCATCTATGTCATTGGCGGCCACTGCGGATACCGAGGAAGCTGTACCTATGACAAGGTGCAGAGCTACAATTCGGACATCAACGAGTGGAGCCTCATCACCTCCAGTCCACACCCAGGTAATGAAACACTGGAGCAGTGTATATTCTGGTGCCGTTGAGAATGAGCTGAAAATGCTCATTAATTTTTTTCTGTACTGGAGTTTGAACTCAGATCCTTGTGCTAGCTAAGCAAGTACACTCCCACTTGAACCACACACCCAGCCTTATTTTTCAGGCAGGGTCTCAAATTTGTCCCCAGACCAGTCTCAGTCTGCAGTCTCCCAAGTAGGTGGGACCATGAGTGGACACCACCGTGCCTGGCTTATTGATTGAGATCCTCCCAGTTACACCCTCCCTCATAGCTGGGATAGCAGGCATGCACCACCATGCCCATTATTTGTTGAAAAGGGATTTTGTGTGTATGCTGGGCTGACTATGAACTTTGATTCTCTCCATCTCAGCCTGCTGAATAGCTAGGATGGCAGGTGTAAGATCGCACTGGTGTGTGGTCAGATTTATCTTTCCAAAGAAAATCAAATGCATGGAAGTTCAGAGTGAATAGAGAACAGTGGCTTACATTGTAAATTTAATTCATTTCCTAAGAGGATTCCTTTATTTGTTTTTTGTTTTTGCCAGTCCTGGGACTTGAACTCAGGGCCTGCGCACTCTCCCTGAGTTTCTTTTTGCTCAAGGCTAGCACTCTACCACATGAGCCACAGCACCACTTCTGGCTTTTTCTGTTTATGTGGTATTGAGGAATCAAACCCAGGGCTTTGTGCATGCTAGGCAAGCACTCTACAGGTAAGCCACATTCCGAGCCCAAGGATTCCTTTAAAAATAAGTATTCTGGGGCTGGGAAGGTAGCTCAGTGGTAGAGCGCTTGCCTTGCATGCCTGAAGCCCTGGGTTTGATTCCTCACCACCACATAAGCCAAAAGAAAAAAGCCGGAAGTGGCACTGTGGCTCAAGTGGTAGAGTGCTAGCCTTGAGCTGAAGAGCTGAGGGACAGCGCCTAGGCCCAGAGTTCAGGCCCTAGGACCGGACCCAAAACAAACAAACAAACAAAAAAAAGTATTCTGTAATATGTATAAATTGTGTAGAGTTTATTAATTGCTTAAAAAAGAGACTGGAAAGAAGTGTGACTTAAGACTAATATTAGAAGCCATGGAAAATAAGAAATCAATGCAAAGCATTACATCACAGCATAAATCAAATGGAATATACATTACACATGTAAACTTTTCATTTACATTGATTTTTTTTTGGCCAGTCCTGGGGCTCCTACTTAGGGCCTGAGCACTATCCCTGAGTTTCTTTTGCTCAAGGCTAGCACTCTACCACTTGAGCCACAGCACCACTTCCAGCTTTTTCTGTTTATGTGGTACTTCATGCATGCTAGGCAAGCACTCTAATAACACTAAGCCATGTTCCCAGCTCCACAATGAACTTTATTTCTAGATAAGGTATTTTTTTTTCCAGATGAAGTATTTAAAAAATCAGGGTCTGGGAATGTGGCTAAGTGGTGGAGTGCTTGCCTAGCATGCATGAAGTCCTGGTTTGATCCTCAGTACCACATAAACAGAAAAAGCCAGAACTGACACTCTGGCTTAAGTGGTAGAGTGCTAGCCTTGAGTAAAAGAAGCTCAGGGACAGTGTCTAGGCCCTGAGTTCAAGCCCCAGGACTGGCAAAAAAAAAAAGAACGAAAAAAAGAAAAATACTTTCTAAAATCAGGTCCCATATATGATATATTCTACTTGGCTTTTGCACTCTTGAAATATTTTTGAATTGTTTTATTAGTTTTTAAAATTCAGGAGATTTCAAATAAAAATTATGGTTTCGGGCCTTTAACAAATGCCTTGGTGGCAGCAGTCTATCAGCAGGGCTGAGTAACAGCTGTTCTAGTAGATGAGGCTTCTAGGCTCCATTGTGTTACAGTGTCTCCAGTTCTGCTCCATCACAGATGGCCTGGGCCGCTATTGTTGTCTGTCTTTCTTTCTTTTTTATTTGCCACATTCAAACCCATAATTATTTTGTTTGTGTTTTCAATTTTTTTTTCAATTTGTGCTGTTGTTTTTTTTTTCTCCCCCCTGGCCTGCTCCCCTCAGCTGCCCTCTGCCTCCTTGAACTACTGAAAACATTTGCTTCTCCATTCATTCAATTATAGTCAGGCAGGCCTTTTTCCCACATTTTTTATTAGCATCAATTAGTTATACACAGGTGGAGAATCATTTTAGTCTTTCTTTTTCTTTTCTCTCTCTTATGCATCCCTCCCTCCCTCCCTCCCTCCCTTCCTTCCTCCCTTCCTCTCTTCTGTCCTTCATTCCTTCCTCTCTCCCTTCCTTTTCCTTCCTTTCCTCCTTTCCTTCATCTCCTCCTTCCCTCCCTCCCTTCCTCTCTTCTGTCCTTCATTCCTTCATCTCTCCCTTCCCTTCCTTTCCTCCTTCCCTCCCTTCTTCCCCCTCTCTCTTTCTTTCTTTCTTTCCCATCCCTCCCTCCCTCCCTCCCTCCTTCCCTCCCTCCTTCCTCCCTCCCTCTCTTCCTTCTTTCCTTCCTTCACAAGTCCTGGGACTTTTTTTTTTTTTTTGTCGGTAGTGGGACTTGAACTCTGGGCCTGGGCGCTGTCCCTCAGCTCTTCAGCTCAAGGCTAGCACTCTACCACTTGAGCCACAGCACCACTTTCGGCTTTTTTCTTTTTGCTTATATGGTGCTGAGGAATTGAACCCAGGGCCTCAGGCATGCAAGGCAAGCGCTCTACCACTGAGCCACCTTCCGAGCCCCAAGTCCTGGGACTTTTAAACTCAGGACCTGGGCACTGTCTCTGAGCTTCTTTTGCTCAAGGCTAGCACTCTATCACTTGAGCCACAGCACCACCTTGGGCTTTTTCTGTCTATGCAGTACTGGGAATGGAACCCAGGACTTCATGCATGTTAAGCAAGCACTCTACCACTAAGCCATATTCCCAGCCCCTTAATATTTCTATATAAGCATAAATGTGGGGCTGGGAAGGTGGGTCAGTGGTAGAGCGCTTGCCTTGCATGCATGAGGCCCTGGGTTCCATTCCTCAGCACCACATAAGAAAAAAGCTGGAAGTGGCGCTGTGGCTCAAGTGGTAGAGTGTTAGCCTTGAGCTGAAGAGCTGAGGGACAGCGCCCAGGTCCAGAGTTCAGGCCCCACGACCAGACTCAAAAAAAAAAAAAAAAAGCATAAATGTATCTTAATCACATACTCTATCATTTCACACTCCCTTCTCCCCTCTCCTCCCTCCTAAAATCCCAGCAAGCTTCTATGTTCCATTTTCACACATGTACATGGAGTGTTTTGATCATTATCTCCTCTACTTCACCCTCTCCATTTGCCCTATCCCCCTCTTTTATTACCCACACCTGTTTTACAATCGTATCCTTCTTTTTAAAATTTGTAGTGTATATTGATTGTTTTAGAGGAGTTCCATTGTGGTTTCACCATTCATATGTACTATTTTTTTTTTTTGGTTCTAGGGACTTTGGCGGGGGTGGGAGGCGCTGGGGTTGTACTATAGTTTGAACCCAGAGCCTTATACTTGTTAGGAAAGTCTACCACTCAGCCATCCATGATGATATTATATTGAGTCACCCTAAGCTGGTAAAGATAGTATTCTAGTAATTAGGTAAGACACAAAAATGATTAAGGAATTAAGTATGTAGTAAGAAATGCCTATAGTTAATAGAAATACAGGACAATCTTTAAGAAATTTCTGTACAAATTATTCTTGTTGAAATTTAGAATATAGACTGGACACAGTGGTTCATGCCTATAATCCCAGTTACTTGCGAGTCAGAAATTGAAGGATCATGGTTGTGGCAAGTCCTGGTAAAAAGTTAAGACTATATTAGCTGGGCACCAGTGGCTCACTCCTGTAATCCTAGCTACTCAGGAGGCTGAGATCTGGGGATCATGGTTCAAAGCCAGCCCGGGCAGGAAAGTCTGTGAGTCTCTTATCTCCAATAAACCACTAGAAAATCGGAAGTCGGAGAGCACTTGCCTTGAGCTGATCAGTGCAGGGACAGCATCCAAGCCCAGAGTTCAAGCCCCACGACTGACCAAAAAACAAAAAACTTGAGACTAAATTGACCAATGAGCTAGGTATGGTGGCATACCCTGTGATCATAGCTTTGTGCAGGTATAAGTGTAGGCTGTCCTGGGCAAAAAGCATAAGACCATATCTGGAAATAACTAAAGAACAAAAGGGAACAACATGCCGGTGACTCACACCTGTAATCCTAGCAACTCAGGAGGCTGAGATCTGAGGATCGTGGTTCAATGCCAGCTTGGGCAGGAAAGTCCATGAGACTCTTATCTCCGGTTAACCACTAGAAAACTGGAAGTGGTGTTGTGGCTCAAGTGGTAGAGCATTTGCTTTGAGTTGAAGAGCTGAGGGTCAGTGCCCAGGCCCAGAGTTCAAGTTCCACAGCCAAAAAAAAAAAAAAAAAGACCAAAAGGGGCTGGAGGTGTGCTTTGTTCAAGTGGAAGAGCACCTGTGTAACAGGCAGAAGGCCCTGAATTCAAACCCCAGCTTTTAAAAGACAGAAAAAAAACCACACACATACACTCACTTGTGTTTACACACACACACACAGTCTGTCTAGCTGGAAAATAATAAATGAATTTTCAAAAGATAGGCAAAGGCTTTTTTTTTTTAATTTTTTGGTAGGTCCTGGACCTTGAACTTAGCCTGGGCACTATCCCTAAGCTCCTTTTGCTCAAGGCTAACTCTCTACCACTTGAGCTATAGTACCACTTCTGGCTTTTTCTATGACTAATTGGAAATAAGAGTCGCATGGACTTTCCTGTCCAGGCTGGCTTTGAACCATGATCCTTAGATCTCAGCCTTCTGAGTAGCTAGAATTACAGTCTGAGCCAATGGCGCCTGGCTTTTTTTTTTTTTTTTAATGTCAGAAACTTGAGAACATTATGTGAAGTCAAAGCAATAATGCCTATCTTCTAAGACTTCCTTTCCTCTCCAAAACCTGTATAGCAAGCACTTTACAATAAGATACTATCTTCTTAATGAGAACATATTCCCAATCATGCATTCTTTCTAAAGAGGGGCTATAAGCTCTTCTCCCAATGGGTAATGTGGATACACACTGTTGCTCAGGAAGGTAGGAGATAAAATTCACTGGTTGATCAAACAAGTGTGTCTGGAGTCCTTACACAGTGGCCAAAACTTTCTGTTCTCCCGCAGCGTAGGCGTGCAGCAGGGGGAGGGTCACACCCCCTACCCTTTGAAGTGTCAGGAAAATAAGATCTCAGTGACAAGAAGGCGACAGCCATGCCAAGCTTCAGGGAAAAGCAGGAGGACAGTGTGTGATAGCAAGCTAAATCTTAATTGTAAAGTGGAAATGATTTCACTGACAAACTTGCCTCTTCCTTAAGGCTGCAGTTGGAAGTGTCATTATGGCTGATACTCCAAGAATGGGCTGAGTGATGTTAAAGGAAGGGCATGGAAGAACTGGACAGAGGATTAGGATGAGGTGTGTAAGATGCTTGAGGCTCACAGTGACTCCTGTGTGCACCTCTCCCTCATCGTGGCCCTGGGAAGAAGGGAGGGGAAGTGGAGTCTTGAAACATCCTGGCACTGTGGCAGGTTTGAGTGGAGACTGATAAGTGGCAAACACTAAGGCAGTCTGGGAGATGTGACCCCTATAGATGGGCAGTTGTGGGATCTGTATCCCCACAGCATCTCTCACCTCTCCACTGCCGTTCATAGTGCCTTCAGATTGAAGATGGAGTGCTGCAGGAACCTGAGCATGTGCTTTTTTTTTTTTTTTAACTTTCTGTGACCTTAACTAGACCAGCAATGTGAGAGAAGCTAGGCAAGCTACCCTGTGGTAGCTGACACTGGGGATTGCCTGCCTCCAGTTACAGGAACAGCTGCTGAGACTTAGCTGAACCTACACCAATTATCTTTTACTGATGGGGAGCAAATGAAAGCTGCCAACCTGTGTTGGCAGTTCCCAGAAGGGTAGTTGTCTAAGAGATGAGTTTCTTGTCTTGTAGAGCTCTTAAGAATTACCAGGGATAATGGTCATTATGCCCCCTACAGGCTCATAATTGAGTAGCAGGAACAGGTTCTGGAGTCAGACAGTAGAGCAGGATTTTAACCTTCAGTGTAGCCCACGTCAGAATTAAAACAGCACCACACTGTATTTGTGAGTGCTAGGCAGCTCTTCTGTGTGTTATTATAGTAAATATTTGCTCTCTTTGTTCTTCTTAAAAGAATATGGATTGTGCTCAGTTCCATTTGAAAATAAGCTCTATCTAGTCGGTGGACAGACCACGATTACCGAGTGCTATGATCCTGAACAAAACGCCTGGAGAGAAACAGCTCCCATGATGGAGAGGAGGATGGAGTGTGGTGCTGTCATCATGAATGGCTGCATCTATGTCACCGGAGGCTACTCCTACTCAAAGGGGACATATCTTCAGAGCATCGAGAAGTATGATCCAGATCTTAATAAGTGGGAAATAGTGGGCAGTCTTCCGAGTGCCATGCGGTCTCATGGATGTGTTTGTGTGTACAACGTCTGACTGAGCCATGGGATTGACCAGGTGATCACTGTTGGGGCAGGGAGGGAGGAGGTGGTCCTAGTAAAAAGAATACAGGGCTTGGAGTCCCTTACTTGTTTTTGTGGTCTGACATGTGACAGGAGATTGGTAAATTTCAATTCCTAACCCTACCAGTGATGTATGGTCAAAACCTTATGTATAAATAGAGTTGAATTGGTAGAGTTAAGCTCCTAAAATTTGTTTTTCTAAGGCAGTATGGAATAGTTGACACTTGGTAAAAACCTTTATAGTGAATCTTTTATGCCTGGTAGTATCAACACTGGGAACAGGTCAAAATCGTTCTGTGTAATGAAACGTCCTTTAAGAGCCTGCGATATAATAGATAGTTCTGTTTAGCAAGAATTTGAAATACAAGAGGGAGTCTTTTCTACCTCTACAAAAATCAATGCTTAAAAAATATTTTTTTTCCAGCCAGGCACTGGTAGCTCATGCCTGTAATCCTAGCTACTCAGGAGGCTGAAATTTGAGGATCATAGTTTCTGCCCCCAGGCAGAAAAGTTCCCATGAGACTCTTATCTCCAATTAACCACTCAAAAAAAAAAAAAAACAGTAGTGGAGTTGTGGCTCAAAATAATGGAGTGGTAGCATTGAGCAAAAGAGCTCAGGGAAGCCGGGCACTGGTGGCTCACGCCTATAATCCTAGCTATTCCACAGGCTGAGATCTGAGGATCACAGTTCAAAGCTAGCCTGGGTAGGAAAGTGTGAAACTCTTACCTCCAGTTAACCGTCAGAAACCGCCTTGGGCGAAAAAGTACTGGGACAGCATTCAGGTCCTGATTGCAAGACCCAGGACTAACAAAAAAAAAAAATTGCTCAGGGACAGTGTCTAAGCCCTGAGTTCCAGCTCCATGAACAACAAAAAAAAAATTTTCCCTTAGAACTATTGAGATGTGCACTTACTTTAAGTATAAATTCAGTTCCTTTGTAAAGTTATATAATTTATTGTTAGTAGTCTTTATATACTGACTACTATGATATAAAAAATAGTGTGCAAAAGATTTTTTATTGTTCAGAGTTTACAGACTAAATTTAAAAGGTATAAAAATTATAGAGAAAATTGTCAAGTACTTGATGATGCTAAGGGCTATTTTAAATTTTCAGTTTTAATACCAGTTGCTAGTTTAGATGTCTAGGCATGTTAGAAAAATTCTTTTTAAAATATAGTTACATATTTGCACGTAAAGTTGAATTTTAGAGCCAACAGGCATGTAAAGCAGTTACAAGAGAATACACTGATGAGAAGAAATATATATTCATTTCCAGCTCTGCCAATAGCTAGCTTTTTGTCACTTGGTCACTGAATTTACCAGTGATTTAGTGCTTCCTGACCTGTGCACAGTGTCCTGACCTGTGGCCCTCACATGGGTCTGGATCCTGGTAGCCAGAAGCTGGATGGACCTTTGGGCAGGGAACGCCTTTATCCGTCTTTCTCTGCATGCCTTCAGGGTCACTGCTCATATGTGCTGACTTGAGGAAAGTTGGGAAGCACTGCTTCAGTTGGCTCATCTGAACCTTTCATTCTATCTATGAGACCAGCTGTTCTACATACTTTTTTTTTATACTTTTCATTTTAAATACTGAAGTTTAAAACTACTTCTGATTTTTTAAAACTTTTAGACACTGTTTAATACACTTATTTCAGATGGCATTTTTAAATAAATACAACTCTTTGTGGATGCAACATGGTACATAGCAGGACCATAAATCAACCATACCCTTTGTCCCATAAATTCTACATATATATTTTAAAGTAAAAGGAGGTCAGTGCATGAGAATGTTTATGTCTGAATCATTAATAATAGTGAAATAATGGGGGACATATACATATTAAAGAAAGTAGGTTAATAAAATAATGATGTATACTGTCATGAAAATGATCATTTGCAAGCTAGGCATTATTGGTTCACACCTGTAATCCTAGCTCAAGAGGCTGAGATCTGAGGATCATGGTTTGAAGCCAGTGTAGGCAGTAAAGTTACTGAGATTCTTTTCTCCAATTAGCCACCAAAAAGCTGGAATAGAGGTATGGCTCAAGTGGTAGAGCACCACGATTAAGCAAAAAGTCAAATAAAAACCTGAAGTCTCGGGCTGAGAAGGTGGCTCAGTGGTAGAGTGCTTGCCTTGCATGCCTGAGGCCCTGGGTTCAATTCCTCAGCACCACATAAGCAAAAAGAAAAAAAAAAGACAGAAGTGGCGCTGTGGCTCAAGTGATAGAACACTAGCCTTGAGCTGAATTGCTGAGGGACAGCGCCCAGGCCCAGAGTACAGGCCCCATGACCGGACCCCCCCAAAAAAAACAAAAAAACAAAGAAACCCTGAAGTCTTGAATTTAAGTCCCAGGACTGGTACAATAAAAATAATTTTGAAGACTGTGTAGAAACATGGGTGTGTCTAAACGCTAAACAAGCACAACACAAAGTCATGTGTCCACTATGACTGCAGCAGCTAAGCATGTGGAAGGCAAATTTGCAAAATTCATTCGTTGTGTTAATGTAAGGGATATGGAATAATTTTTAATTTATTTACGTCTTTTCTTTAATAGTACTTTGTATTTCCAATAAAAATAAATCTCTACATGGTGAAGACTGTTTTTGTTTGGGTAAATTGGCTTGAAGGACAAGACTTACTTTAATCTAAAATTAAACTACAGACATTTATTGTTCTCAAGGGTATTAGCAATAAATTGTGAACTAATAATATGCTGCCTGTACTGTTGACACATTGAGTGCTTGGACCACATCTTAGTATTCTCAAGGCACAGCTGCTTCATAGGTAGATGTTGTATACTTTTTGAAGGACAATGGTATAAATTATTTTTATAAGAAAGCCTTGTGGAGGTGCTTGGAAGACCTTGAAAATAGTTTATGATCTGAGTTATTTCATAGGAAGTTTCTAAAAAATTCTTTTTTACTATAGATTTGTACACAGAAGAAAGGCTTAAAGAAAGTATACAAGCTATACAGTTATCCTATTCAGTGCACTACAATATGAGTGCAAAATATTTCAATGTGTTTAAACCGAAAAGCTGTGGTTTTGAGAAGGCAGACACTTGTTTTGCAAAGTAAAATTGTGGCACTCACTTTTAGCACAAATTAATGAAGATGACTTTATCCAAATTTTGCTTGCTGTTTCTCAGGTTTTCTTTTTAGTTGTTCAGCTGAAACTGAAAGAGAATCAACAGTTAAAGTACTTACTTAAAGGCACTTAACCTTTTTCTTTTGAAACTCATGTAAGTATAATCCTCTCATAAACTCAATTTTATATTTTCCCAAAATTCATATAGACCCCCCACTGTGACATACTTAGAGAGAGGGCAAATACTCTAGAAGTAATTAAAGTTACATGAGGATGGGACCCTCATCCAAGAGAAGATAAGTGTCTTTATTTTTTTATTATTATTTTTTATTTTTTGCCAGTCTGGGGGCTTGAACTCAGGGCTTGGGCACTGTCACTGAGCTTCTCTTGTTCAAGGCTAACACTCTACTACCTGAGTTACAGCGCCACTTTCGACTTTTTCTGTTTATGTGGTACTGAAGAATTGAACCCAGGGTTTCATGAATACAAGACAAGCACTCTACCACTAGCCACATTCCCAGCGAGGTGAATGTCTTTTATAAGTACATATAGCCTGCTTGCACTCTTAAGTGCTGCCACTCCCAATCTCCACGGCCCACTCAGACTTCCAGCTTCCAGAACTGCAAGAAAACTTGTCTGCTCCAAAGCCACCCTGTTTCTGGTGATTCTTTATGGAGGCCTGTGTTACAAGTGTAGCCTGAAAGGCTATGTAAGGAGTCAGCCCTTAGGTCATTTTAGATGCTAGATCAGACAGCCTTATGTCATCATTCTTCCACCCATCACATACGCAGAACAACCACCTATAATGAAACATTATAAGTACTCCTTTTTTTTTTTTGCCAGTCCTGGAGCTTGAATTCAGGGCCTGCGCACTGTCCCTGAGTTTCTTTTGCTCAAGGCTAGTGCTCTACCACTTGAGCCACAGCACCACTTCTGGCTTTTTCTGTTTATTTGGTACTGAGGAATTAAACCCAAGGGTTCATGCATGCTAGGTAAGCACTCTACCACTAAGCCATATTCCCAGTCCTATAAATATAGCTTTATTTCTTAAGGTATAGTAGACCCTGTTTTGAGTTTTTGTCTGCCTCAGCAACCCTCTCAAAGATTATTTCTGCCAATGCTCTTAACTCTCCTGGACAGTGGCATCCAGAGTTATAGTTAGCCAGGTTTCCTGATGTTAGAGTAATGAGAATTGGTAAGAGAAACTACTGTGACTAGGCATGGGAAGTGGTGATGTATTGCTGCTAGGGCATTTCAGTTCAGTGATGAAAATCAATGCAGTCATTTTTGTTTTGTTTTGTTTTGAGCTGGGATTTTCTCTTGCAGTCAACCAAAAAATGCACAAACTAGCTGGGCAATGGTGGCTAATGCCTGTAATCCTAGCTACTCAGAAGGCTGAGACCCAGAAGATAAAGGTTCAAAGCCAGCCAGGGCAGAAAAGACTCCATTTCCAATTAATCAGCAAAATGCTGGCCTGAAGGTATGGTACAGTGCCAGTCATGAGCAAGAAAGCAAATGTGTTGCTCTGAGTTCAAGCCTCATAACCAACTCCAGAGGAAAAAAATGCATGATAGGAGCCAGGACTGGAACCCACTGAGTCCTGAGCAGGTTTAACAAAAAAGTTGGTGACAGGGTTATTCACCATTAGACCTTTCAAGGCTCACCTTTCTGTCCTGCACATGAATACAATGCAAGAAAAGTCATTCTAATTGTGTAGGGTGTATACTTTCCACCCCTACAACCTTTCTTTGTGAGCAGGGAGTTGCTCTGCTCCTTCTTATATATTAAGATGCTGTATCTTGAACCTTTAAAACAAAGTTTATCATACATTAACATATTGAATCTTAATAAGTCTAAGCAGATCATAAAACTATTCAGTGTTTGATTTAGAAGGTGTGTGAAGCATTTCTAACTTAAAATACTTGAGGAGAGGGTTCCTTGAGGTCTTCTAGCAGGAATAAAATAATCTTTGGCCAGATACCAGGGATTAACACCGTAATCTTAGCTTCTCAGGAGGCTGAGATCTGAGGATAATGGTTTGAAAGCAATCCAGGCAGGAAAGTCTTTGAGGTTCTTATGTCCAGGCAACTGGCAAAATCTAGAAATGCAATTGTGGCTCAAGTGGTAGAACATACCAGCCTTGAGCAAAACAGCTAAGGGTCAACATGTAGGCCATAGTCCAAGCCCCAGCATAAATAGATGAAAACCCACAAACTTTCTTAAGGTGAGTGTACAATACTTATAATTTGTCATACTATTTTTAAAATGTCACTATGAATAGGACAACCCAAAAACTTCTTAGTATCAAGTATTTCATAGCAGTAACAACTGAACAGCAA